GAAAAATCATAATTTCAAGTGGTATAGCAACAAATCTACTAAAAAGTGGGAAATATAACTGTTCAACAAAGTCGAATACACTACCACGACACTCATTTTGAGATTTTTTATTGCCTGACTGAGTGTTACGAAAAAACTAAACGTAAACATGTGGATAACAATATATGTTATAATGTATACAAATCATTCCAGAAGAAAGCCCTCCTTATTATCAACCCCAGTGTGCCCTGGAGGTTATGCAGTAAGAATCACTTGGATAAAGAAGACACCTTATCTTTTTAGAGGACATGAACAAAATTAAGACCAACTAGAACTTTTATGTGGATTTAAATACGCCCATGCGTTATTTTTTTATTTATTTTTTCATTCAATATACTTTTTGAATGGTAGAGTGTCTTAAACTTTAGATTATAAAACTAGATATATTTTCTGCGCTTGTGCAAATGGGCGCAGTTTGATTCTGARCATTTTACAATAAGAATATTTTCCTTTTAAAATTCAAATTCAGAGTTGATTAGTTTCGTATATTTTGCTTGTGAAAAAATGTGATGTTCTTGACAGTTAACCCGCAATACAGTCAATCACAATTATACTTCTGACTTTCCCAATGTCTAAGCAAAATTTCCGTGCATTAGTGGTATTAGTGTAGATAGTAGCCTTATAATTGTTTTTAGTAACTATTGTTATACAAATTACACAGAATGCATCAGTCAAGACTTCTGAACTAAATCAGATTGTTTCACAACATATCTTCATTCAGTCAGTCCTATCGATCAGTGAAGCACTTTCCACTGTTAAAACAAATCGTCACAGTTCTTGCTTACTATGGAAAATAACTCTTCTAGCGTCATGGTTCGTTCTAGTAAACCTGGTATCTGTTTTTTTTCCGTACCAGAGTTTGATCCTCATAACATGAACCGTCCAGATTCAGTTYATCCAACTTGGACTTTTCTTGCTACTGTCAATGGTCTTGCTGCCCCACCGACAATCGTCGTTAACGCCCTTGTCATTTGGACAGTGGTTGGGAGTGAAAATCTTCGCTCTTCTTCCTTCAATCTTTTGCTTGCCCTTTTAGCAGTGACTGATTCCCTTGTAGGATTGCTGGTCGAGCCATTGTATTGTCTATTCATTGGATGTCTTCTAAACAATTGTCTTTTGCCTCAATGCACACTCACTGCGTATGTTTTGTCGCTGCAAACGTGCGGTATTATGACAATGGTCAGCTTTACCATTTCAAGTGTTGAGCGGTATTTAGCCATAGAGCATCCAAACTTTTATCTCAAAAATATTACAAGGAAAAAAGTTACAATTACTACGGCAATGGCTTGGGTAATAGCCCTTGGAAATTCACTGATTACAAGCGCCTTACTAAATAAAAGCTACCCTGATCTGTCTAGAATTCCACCTGCTATAGCTATGAGCATTCTTGGAGTGGTCATTTTGTACTGCACATCTAAAGTACAGCTAACAGCTTACCGTCAGAGTAGAACCATCGCCCTGCAGCAAGAATCAGTTCAACAGCCCGACGAACAGCAGCTACAAGAACGACGAATCCAGGAATACAAGCGAGTGTTCACGATGACCATGTTAGTGGCTTTGTCGATTATTTTTTACACTCCATTCATTACAGTCACAGTGATACAAGCCGTGACAGATAAAGATGTGACGAGCGACTTCAACTTCATCGCCATGCCAATTTGTGCAACATTTGTTCATCTCCAGTCTCTCATCAACCCAATCATCATGACGCTGCGTCTGTCCTACATTCGCAAAGGCATCAAAAACAAGCTAGCAAGCCTTGTACAAGGAACTAATTAAAAACTCTCATTTGTCCATTTACATTGTCTAATCAAACCTATCATCATATGACCAGAGCAATCCTAATTTATCCAAAGTTCCAGCAGCTATAGTCATGAGTATTCTAGGAGTGATAACTTTATTCTGCTCATTTAAAGTTCAAATGACAGCTTATCGTCAAAGTAGAACCATCGCCCTGCAGCAAGAATCAGTTCAACAACCAGATGAACAGCAACAACAAGAACAACGACTCCAGGAATACAAGCGAGTGTTCACGATGACCATGTTAGTGGTTTTGTCGATTCTCTTTTATTTTCCTTTCATTATGGTCACAGAGATCGAGTCCCGGGACGGTAAAGATGTGACGAGCGATTTTCTGTTCATCGCCTCACCTATCTGTACAACATCTCTACATCTCCAGTCTCTCATCAACCCAATCATCATGTCACTTCGTCTGTCCTATGTTCGCCAAGGCATCAAAAACAAGGTACATAGCCATGTGCAGGGAACTGATTAAAGAACATTTCCACGATAAAAAAACTTTAGATGGACTCAAGAACTACATGTCATTTCTTTTGCCCTACCTTCAACGAATAATAAGGAATTTGCCTACTCTCAAGCAGGGCCTTCAAACAGAGCCAGGTAGCCGCACCGATCAGAACCAATCTCCAAAGAAGACGTTAGATACCCAAGCGACTAATATTCATAACTACAAACTTTAGATGAACTCAAGAACTAAGTTGTTTCGATGAACATCAAGGAAGCATGTGAGTAGTATTTTACTTGATCTGACATAATATGCTCGCTTTCTTCCCATCGTTGACACATTGAACTTATTAGTCGGACTAGCCGAAGGCGGTCCGACTTTAAATTTACCTTTTAGCCAACCTATCTATCTATGTGTCATGTCGCGTTTGGACCACCGGAAGTTAAGAATTTAATAATTAACTATTGGGTTGACTGTGTTATTACATGACCGGAAGCTCAAACGTATTGATGTACGAATATCGTTAGTAAATGTTATATRCTACTCGCGCTTTTATATGACAAAAATCTATTCGTTTACAAATGTGGTATCTGTGATCTCATCGGAATGCATCAGTCTAGGTATCATAAGTACGCGCATGTGCAGATCGCTTGGAGCTTCGAGTAGTATGCTTTCGAAACTAAATCAATGGCCTTTTTTTATCGTTAGGCAGTGTTGTGTGGGCAAAGATTTCAAATTAGAACAAGAAGAAACATTTTTTATCAATAAAAAAGGCGAGTTTAATGATTTTATATGTATCATTTACTTTGTAAAGTATTTTCTTGGCCTGAGAGGTCAACGTTATCACTTAGCGTCACTTCAGATCTCTACATAGCACGTTTGATTTTATCAGTGAAAGCAAGGACTCTTTTAAAACGTTCATTGCTATATTAATTACATGACCTTTTAGGTCAAGTTTATTTTAGTCTCAAGAGAGTTGGGATATTTTGAACTAGACGCTCTTATTAGGCCGTGAGTTGGGCTATTTTGGAGAAAAATTAAAAAATATATATTTTAATCTAATTTTTATATTTCATGTAATATCCTCCTGTTTTTCTCAAGTTTCATTTGCATTCATAATATAACCATATGATTAAACAGAATATAACATCATAATCTTTTCACTCGTGTCTATCAATTTTCAAAAATAGCTAGTCCGACTTCACGCTCCAGGGGCGTCTAGTTGATACATTAAACTCTAAGACAAACTGACTGATTATGCTAGCATTAGGCGACTGTGTAGTTCACTTTAATAAACAGTTTAGAGGTGGCAGACACCAATATATAAGAAATGTTTGTCTGCCCAAACTCCAACAAAAAGAAACAAAAAATGTAAATGATTTTATTAAGGAATCTGAATGATTCTTTCCATAAAGGAAACGCATTATTAACTTACAAAGATTAACGTATACAACCTAAATACAATAATTTCAAACTCTTGAAGAAATTTTACATCTTTGCTCATTGAAAAAAGCAACAATTGTTGAAAGTATATATACCAGCTTCGATCAACAATTACATATCCATAAGTATAACTCAATTTAAACATGCTCAAAAGTTAAAAGAATAAAACAATATGTGTAAATATGGTTAATCAAGAATGAATTTATGTTTTACGGTAAAAGACGCGTTTTGTCAAGTCATTACACAAATACAAATATATTTTGTGCAATATAAATTAACAATCAAGTTCTAATAGATTAATAGTTTTAACTATTAAAATAGTAAACTCTTATTGAAAGGTCAGATCCAAGTTCACAAGTTTAAAGGAAAAGTGCTAAAAGTGTTTATTTTTTTATTTTATTAATATTTAAAAATATTAATATCGATAGAACACCAGAGATTCTCCCGATTTCATCTTGACATCGTTCAAATGCAGGCAACACTTTATTCAGGCAATATATTCAACCTTTTCACCACAGATGCCTTTTCGTAGCGTTATGTAAGTGGACATTGTTCGCTYACACCTGTTTTTGACTTTATCCCAAGTTATTCCCAAAGATTAACCTAATTCCTTCCATCTTCGCATCAAATTATCAATTCTATTTTCTTTCTTTCAGAAAATAATTTCATATATTTACGATTTTTGGAAATCGTATTTTGTCGAAGACGATTACGAAAATCGCGATCTTTCAATCCAATCCTGTCGAAATCCCTTTTTTATTTACTAAATTTTGTCTCTCATATCTTGATAAACCTTAAAGAGAAACGAGATCAACAGTTTGTTTAAAGGTGTTGTCAAAATTTCTCGTTAAGAGCAAACACAAAAAATCTAAAAGAATTTCCATTAAAATCATTCGACAAAAAAATTCAATTTTTTGATACAAATTAATCAACTTATTTTTATTGTCGACATATGAAAAAAACGTTTCACGCCAGAACATATACCCAAAAACGAAACAAAAATCGCTAAGACACTACGAAAACGCATCCGTGTGGACAGGGATTTGATTGGTTATTTCAACGTTATCTGTGTATTAAATGGACGCAAGACGATACGTGTTGTATCTTGTTATGTAAATATTAATATCTTCGATCAATAAGCACCTCATGCATTATTGTACAGTATAAAGTCTATATATCATGTATTCACTGTTAAGGGACGTTCACACTGGCGATTTTTGAGGCCATTTTTGCGGTCATTTTGGGCCTAGTAAATAATTTTCAGGAATATACTCAAAACGTTTTATTTAGTACACTGAGGCAAACTCTCTTCACAAGGATAAGACAAAAATAATCTAATATATTCTTGAAAATCGCCGAAAAAAACGCAACAATAATCGTAGCAAAAATCGTCAGTGTGAAACGGTCTTAACCACCTCTCTCTCATTTTCAACTATTGTAAATGTACATTATTTAGTGGGATTAAAAACGTTTTGGTGCTGGTTGATGTGAGCCGTATTTTATTGCTTTTTGACTTTTCACTAACCTCTTTGAGCGCTGTTTCTCAGTTGATTAACCCTTTNTTTTCCTTCCGAAATAATCACACATTTGTGACCATAATCAACCGCTCTTTTTAAAAAATTCCCCTTTTTTTCTCATGTTTTGTGACCAAGCAGGCGCGGATCCAGGGGAGGTGAAAAGGGTGACTTTTCACCCCCTCCCCTCCCCCCCATTTTTCTAAGCCCTTCTATCTTTCTTTTTTCTCTTATCCCTCAAATTTATATATGTCATCAATGTGTCATTTACCGGCTAGGAGGTCCGGAACGAATACAGCGAGGTCCGTACATAAAAGAGCGAGGGCAGTGTTTTCCTATACGGACCGACCTATAGCCTGTAAATAACATTCTTATTTATTTTTTTATTTGTATTTTATGCAACTTTGCTCGCAGCCTAGCTGCAGGATACCGTCGGACCGGGCAGATCATGAAAAACCGGACCGCGTGCTAGCCAATCACAGGAGCGCGCGAATGACTAGGATATCAGACCGAAAAAAAATAATGAAATATTATTTGATTTCTCCAATGCCGAGCATTTATGGAACTCCATCAAAGAAGGTTGATGGAACAATCACTTTTGAGGCAGTAAATAGCGTAGATGACATTAGTGTGTAATGCATATTCATGATTGCATATTTTTTTAGGAATCAATGTACTCACGGTAAACTCTCATTGTTCTTGATAAATACTAGTTTTAAACGTGAGAGATTCTTTGTTTCAAGTATAAACATTGCGTACTAAATTCCGTTTAAATTTGTTGAATAAAGAGTTACTAAAAAGTCCCACAAAACGCTACAAATCGCGTGTCCGAGAGTCTGAATTTCAAAATTCCTCGGGGGGGGGGGGAAATGCCCCTGAACCCCCCTAGGGGCTCCCGCCATCGGTGGTCGGCTTCCATTTTATTACATTATTTTAATAATTCACCCCCCACCTCAAAATCTTGGATCCGCGCCTGCCAAGGTGCTAAAAATGTCCTAATTGTCTTGTTTGTAAAAATCCCTCGCTGCTAAGAAATCTGCTTCTTTTTCGTGAAGATAACAATCACTTTTGTTTTGGTGAGATTTGAGCTGCACACGCTTACAAGTAGATAAGGACACTAGAGATTAGAGAGTTGAAAAATGAACAAACGGGAGACAAAATACGAAGTATAACACTTTAATAAACGAAACATACATCTACATTAAGTCTAGTACTAAATTCCTACTTCTAGAAATTAAATATATAAAAAGAATGCTACGTAATTTTCTAAGATTTGAATATATAAATGACCGTGTTGGTACTTAGAAGTCTTTCTTCTACAAGTCTTTCGTGTTGTTCCTTAGAAGTCTTTCTTCTACAAGTCTTTCGTGTTGTTCCTTAGAAGTCTTTCTTCTACAAGTCTTTCGTGTTGTTCCTTAGAAGTCTTTCTTCTACAAGTCTTTCGTGTTGTTCCTTAGAAGTCTTTCTTCTACAAGTCTTTCGTGTTGTTCCTTAGAAGTCTTTCTTCTACAAGTCTTTCGTGTTGKTMCTTAGAAGTCTTTCTTCTACAAGT